CTTATATGTAGAATACATAAAGATTCACATTTCAATAATAAAAAGACAAATTAACCAATTAAAAATGGGCAAAGGATCTGAACAGACATTTCTCCAAACATACACAAATGGCTAATAAGCACACAAAAAAACGCTTAACGTCATTAGTCATTAGGGGAACACAAATCAAAACCACAGTGAGATACCATCTCATACTCACTAGGATGGCTACAAGCAAAAAGATAGTAACGAATGTTAACAAGCATGTAGAGAAACTGGAGCTCTTGTACATTGCGACTGGGGGGTACAGCCACTTTGGAAAAGTTACAAAGTTAAACACAGACTTACCATGTGATCCAGTAATTTTACTCTTGGAATGTACCCAAAAGAAACAAAAACACAGATCCACACAAGAAACTTGTACACAAATGTACATAGCAGCATTATTCACAATAGCCAAAAGGTGAAAACAACCCAAATGTCAGTCAACTAATGAAGAGATAAACAAAATATGGCATATCCATACAATGGAATAGTATTGTCAATTTAAAAAAAATGAAGTGAAGATACATGCTGTAACATGGATGAATCTTGAAAACACTATGTTCAGGTTACATATGTAAAATTCTATTATATGAAATGTCCCTAGGCAAATGTACAGAGACAGAAAGAACTAGCAGTTGCCTAATGCTGGGGATGAGTGGTGAAAATGTGGAGTGGCTGATATAAATGGGCAAGACGTTTCTTTTTAGGGTGATGGAAACACTCTAAAATTAGATTGTGGTGATGGTTGTATAACTCTATAAATACACTAAAAATTCACTAAATTGTACAATTAAAACAAGTGGATTTTATGTGAATTATATCTCAAAAACTCTGCTTAATAAACATTGCTGCACGGCGCCTGGGTGGCTCAGTTAAGTCACTGCCTTCAGCTCAGGTCATGATCCTGGAGAAGCGGGGAGTCTGCTTCTCCCTCCAACCCTCTCCCCTCTCATGCTCTCTCTCTCTCTCCCAAATAAACAAACAAAATCTTTTTTAAAAATTAAAATAAAAAAACAAACATTGCTGCATCTACCTTGCTCATTCTCTCCAATCACTTGTTCTGGGGGAGCCAGCTGTCACGTCATGAGGACATTCAAGCAGCTGTATAGAGAGGTCCCCATGGGAGGAAATGAAGCATCCTGCCAACAACACGAGAGTGAGCTGTCCTAGAAGGGGAGAATCTCCAGCCCCAGACAAGTAAATCTTCAGGCGACTGCAGTCTCACGAGAGATCCTGAGTCAGAACCATCAAGCTAAGCATCTCCTGAATTCCTGACCCACAGAAATCATGTTGCTTTAAGCCACTAAGTTTTGGGGTAATTTGTTACACAGCAATATATAATTAATACTCCTTCCTTGACCCTCTCTTCAGTGTTAGGCTCTCTCTCCTGATGAAGGACATCTAAGGAAATGTCTTCCCAGCAACCCTTCCTCTCCTAAGAGTTTGGTTTCACCCCCATCCACATGTTCACTGTAGTAGCTGTCATGTTAGTAAATCATGATCCCATTCCCTGGCCTTAACTGATAATCTGAAAGTAGGCATCTGACCAAAGCCAGATAGAAATTTCTATACCTGAAGCTGTGGAAAAGGCAGTATCTCTCCAACACCTAAAGCTGTACGATGTAAAACTTGGGGTCTGTCAGCAGCCATGTTCTTTCCCATGTGGGAAAAAGTAGATGGCAGTGGAGAAGGATGAAGCCCATCACATGGAAATAAGAAAAGATTCAAGATGGAGGGAGTACAGAACATATGTCTCTGGTTCCAAGGATTCCTGATGCAACCCTGCCCTTCCAGTGGAAGAATGTATCTGTCTTGTGACCCCACCATGTACAACAGCACTCAGTACTTAAGAGATAATGAAATATTTATGAAATAAATGAATGGGTAAGATAATCCAATATCCTTCCTATAATACCCCCCTCTTTCTCTCTCTCTTTGCTGTTGTTCAACAGAGATTTGATTATTTGAAAACTAAAAGTCCTAACCTCTTTTTTGCTACCTTTATACTCTATATCTCTCTATTATTATACTTACGGCAATATATCCTAATTACTGGCTCACATGGCTTCCTGCCCTACTATCACGGGGCAAGATATTTGCTTAGTCATTTTTGGTATCATCAGCACCATTTAGTCTAGAAAACAGAAAGTGTCAAGAAATATATGTTTAACTGATGTGATCAATCCTTTACTCTTCATTCTTCAGTTTTTATAATTAATGTCCCCAATTTATCAACCACCTAACATTTACAAGATACTGGGAAACACGATAAACCACTGCTTGTTGCTTGGTCATGCATTTTCATCAATTCAATGAATTCATGCAACAAATATCTGAGTACCTACCATACGCCAGGGGCTGAAAATGGATCAAGGACATGGTGTCTGCCCTCAAGAACCCTACAGTCTAGCACAGACAAGTACACCGATTATTACAGTGTGTTAGATGTTACTGAAGATATACACATAGGCTGCTAAGCAGTAGCAGGGATCATGGGGAGTTCTACTTCAGAAGGCAAGACATACACAGTAAAAGATGACAGCCAGCAATGTGACATAGGCTAAGCACCAAATGAGTGATTTGTTTTCTAAGTTACATGGGGCTAGTCTGCACACTTTAAGAAAAGGTACCACCATGGAGTGATTTTCAGACTTTACATGCAACCAACAACTCCTGAGCACCTCACGTGTGCCAAGCAAACTGCTTCGCACTCTTTGAACAGGCTCGCATTCAACTCTCACATTTTGTAGTCGAGAGGTATGAGTCTGAAAGAGTGAAGTGACTTGCCCAAGTCTACACGGCAAGTAAGTGGCAGAGCTAGGATTTAGAATGAAGTCTTCCAATTCTATGTCCGAGTATACCATGCCATGCAATCTACACAACTGGAACACTTTCCATGTGGCTTTCATTGGCTTTTCATTCATCCTAGAGCACACAATACAGTGTTGGGCACATATGGGCAATCACCAACTGCTGACTTGATATGGCTATAATGTTTGTCCACATTTTGAGAAACAAAGGACCACAAGAGATCAAATTACTTTGGTGCCTATTATAACATCATGTGCTGACAAGAGTGCAGTTGGCTGAAGATGAGCAAATCTTTCAAGCTATATTTTAATAGTACTTTTGACCACTATATCCAGTCAGTTGCTCCAATGTTCAGTAATAAATCAAAATGACTGTTCATTTCCTTTGACAGTTAACAGTACTAATGAATTCAGTATAATCTCACCATCTATCAGAAAAATTTCTAAAACGCAAACTTGAAGGTGATGATTCACATGGTTAGCCAGGAAGGAGAAGTAAAGCAGTACTCATTGCTTTCTACAAAACTAGCATTGTTTGCAAAACCCAGAAACTGAGCAATTGGTTGACTACTAATAACAAGTAGGTTGCTCTCTGGTCATTTAGCAAAAAGCTGCTTGTTGCACCATGGTCAGTGGCTGAGGAGCATATGACTTCAAATAGCTTTTGTGATACAGCATAATTCTACCTATATAAATCAGTGAATTGTTACATAAGATTTTTAAAAAAGACAAAATCTCCACATCAAAGACCACCTGACATTGAGCCTGGCACAAATCAGATATTAATACTGAATAAATGTTTACTGAAAAAAAAATGATTTAATGGCCTTTTGAAAACGTAAGTTGTCTACTAAATGAAGAGAGAAAAATCAAACCAACCAAACCCACACAGATTATGTTAGGAACTCAAAAAAAAGATTATGGGGTAACTAGTTCAAGATACCTAAGAAATTCACAACGACAAAAAAAAAAAATGTTGAAATGAGTAAACATGCATTTGACAACCCTCTTAAATTAAATCACCACACTGGCACTCTGTGGAATGCTAACCAGCCATCTCATTAGTAATAAAAACAAAAAGAACAGGTGACAGATCTAACTTTACAATCTGTTCAAAATGGTAACAAGGTGTACTTGGCATACACCTGAAATCCGCTGCATAAGCTCTGTGTCTACATAATAAAAGAGTATCTCTATATGCCAAAGAAGCTGAATCATAAACCTTAATAAATGCTCACACGAACATTGAATAGTAATAACGAACTCTTTAAATGTATTAAAATGTATTGTCCAGAAATGAAAAAATATCTCTCATACCAGACTGGGCTCCACAAATCTAAACCCAAACTGTACTGATTAGTCCAAATAAACATTTTCCAAAATGAACAACTCGGACCCACACAACGAATAAAGTAATCTAACAAGTATAAAGCTTGGAGCAACTCTAGTGATCTAAACGTTAGAACATTAGAACGTGAGCGCCTAAGCGGACTGGTTTAATCGCTTTGACTTAGAGCTTTACATTTACAGAGCCTTCTTCTCAAGAGACCTCTGAAAGAATTCAAGGCCAAGTCTAGCATTTCATGATAACTGCAAATAAAAGCGCTCAGACCCTGAGCCCGCGATCCCTCTCTGCCTCACTACAGTCCGGACTCATGAAAAGCCCTGGGGACAGCCACCCCTTGAGCTCGTACAGGACCCCGGCACCTCAGGGGATGGTTCCACAAACCCCCACCGGGACCACCTCTAGGGAAGCAGAGGAGTGGAGGAGAAGCGAGTCAGGCTCCAAAACAAAGCGTCGTTCACCCCACACGGAGGAAGGCGCACCTCTCGCCCCGGACAGAATGCAGTGACAGATCAGTCACCTGTGCGGGACGGGGGCGCGAAGACATCCTCAGAGACTAGTGCCAACAGGCAGCTGTCCGCCGCTTCGCGGGCCCCAACGCCCCGCGCCCGCAGCGCATTCCCGGGCTGGGGAAAACTTTCGGTCCGCGCCCCCCGGGTGCGCCCCCACCGCCTGGGACCCCCCGGCTTCAGCCCCGCCCGCGAGGCCCCGCCCCCCGCGCCCACTGCCCGGCCCCGCGCCCCCGGCCCGCGCGGGCGCCCGCATGCCCTCGGGGCGCGCCCCCGCGCCGGGCCCGGCCGCCAGAGGGCGGGGTCGCTCACCCGTCCGCAGCTCGTGCTTGACAGTGAGGAGCTGCTCTCCCCCGGCGCCGCCGTCCCCGCTGGTCCCCGCGGCGCCGCCGCCGCTGCCGCCCTCCTCCATCTTCTCCCTTTTCCGATCCCGCGGGGTCCTACGCGGGGATCCGGGAGACAGCGGACGCCCGGCCCCTCAGAGGTCCCGCCGCAGCCCCAGGAGCCGGGGTGCGGCAGCTCCAGAACTCGGACGCAGCGACGAGTCTCTTTCCCGCTCTGGCCGCACGGTTCGCTCCTCCGCCTCCTCCCCCTTCGGCGGGCACCGCTAGTACCGCGCAACCAAACCGCCCCCTGCTCCGCCGCCTCCTCCTTCGGGCCGCTCCGCCCACAGCCAGCAAGGTAGAGGAGCCATTCTAGCCGCTATCGCTTATTGGGCACAGGGCGCGCGCATCTGTCAACGCCGGCTCTCATTGGGCAGTCCTCTCTGACGCTTCGGGAGCCGCCCCGCCCCGCTCCTCGAATTGTTGTTGCTTGGCGGGGAGGCAGGAGAGGGAGAAACGCTATCACTCCGATTGGTGAGAACTGAGATTCTGCCCCGCCCATTCCGCTGGTGCGCACGCGCATTCAGGACGTTCCCTTCCCTGACCTCCCCAGAACGGTCACACCCCTTATTCCCCAGCTTCGATCTGTTAGTAAACAGTGTCTAGTAGTCAGGAGGACTCGGAGTCAGTGATTGGCTATTGCTGAAAGAGGCGGGGATGGCTGATTGGAATGTTTGGTCCGCCAATCACCGTGGAACAGAGGAGGGGCCTGAAGGGAAGCTCATCTCACACACGTGTTTGCGGATATCTGAGGGTCCCAGCGGGCGATCCGCAGAGGTGTGCCCAGCTGGAAGACGGCGTGTCTTCGGAAGGTGTTACTTGAGCTAGTGTGCTCTATACCAGTTAAGTGGAATTTGTGCGTAAGTGCAGGTAGTTCTTAGACATTGCAAAAATTCACAATCCCAGCTCGCCATGAGGACGTTTGCAAAGGATAGGTATTTCCATTTTGTACAAGATACATACAAGGCACCAAGTGGATACAGAGATTAATAAAATACAATATAATTCCTGCCCCTAAACAGCTTTCAATACAAACGTGAGAAACAATTTGTATATACACAGGAAATATAAAGCAGAATTTGGAAGAAAAAAAAAACTGTCATACAAACAGAGAATGACATAGATGGCAATAATTATTCTCCGTAGGGGAACTGGGGAAGGCTTCTAGGGCAGGGGGGAATTTGAGATAACCAACTTAAAGGATGGGTAAGAGAAATATCAGCAGCAGACATTTCATGCAGAAATGGTAACTGTGAGCATCAGCTTAGAGGTAGAGAAGGCAAGGGTGGGTTAAATGATTGGTAAGACTGGATGGAAGTATGACCTAAGAGAGAGCTAAAAAGGTAAGGTGCTGTCAGACAATGGAGAACATTGACTACCATACTAAACAGTGCAGGTTTTATTTAGTACAGGTTGGGGAGTCCCAAAGAGTAGTTACAATATCAAAGCTGTTCTTTTGGAAGTTAGCTTCAGTTACAGTGAGAAGGATGGACTTAGGAGAGGAGAAAGATAACAGGGCAAGAATACTGTTGCAAAGATAGAACTGTTAACCTGGAAACGAAAATAGCCATTTATTTTACCAGCAAAAAGAGTTTATTCAGGAATAGCAAAGAATTACAACTTGGGATGCACAAGCTGTGGTAAAACTATAGGCAACTCCAATAATCAAAGGAGAGGAATGTTTTTTAATGGAGAAGGAGGAAGTTGGCAGGGGTTGTTTTGAAGGAAAGTTCATTGGAGAAAAGCAAGAGTTCAGGAGGATGGTGGTTTCTCATTGGCTGAGTTGCATGGGTAGTCACTTTCATGTAGGAGAGGCAATGTACATCTTTCCCTGTTGGAGGCTATAAGGGAGGATTCTTTCCTCTTGTCTATTCACCTATTGGAGTCGGTAATTGCCAATTTTTCCCCCTAATTGCTGTGGAATAGTAGGCTCCCCCTTCTCGCCTCCTGGCTCCACTTTGGTGAGGTTTCCTTTTTTTGATTTTCACAGAATTTATGGGGGCCTAATTTCTGGCAGTGGACCTGAGAATGGGAAAGGGGGAAGATTAAAGATGGGCATTTGGATGTATTTCACATAGAAGTGACCTTTTAAACTAAGCATGGATTAGGTCAAAATCAGCAAACACTCTCTGTAAAGGATCAAGCAATAAATATTTTAGGCTTTGCAGGCCAAGTGGTCTCTTTCACAGCTACTCAATTCTGCTATTGTAGTGTGAAAGCAGCCATAGACAATAAGTAAACTAATGGGTATGGCTATGTTCCAATAAATCTTTATTTATGGACATTGCAGTTAAATTTCACATAATTTTCATATAATAAAGTATATTCTTCACCTTGTAATTCTTTTCAACCATTTAAAAATATAAAAGCCATTCTTAGCTCTTGGGCTATAAAAAGCAAGCAGTAACCAGATTTTGCCTGCAGGCCATAGTTTGCAGACTCCTAGATTAGACTGCCATCGAAGAGAAAGCAGAGAAGGCTTGACAACCCCTCCAGGTTGCCTGAGCAACCTAGGCTTACCTGTCTGGAACATTTATCCCACTAAACCATGACTGTCGACTCACTTGCTTTTCTCCTGCATAAGTACTGTGCTATTTGGAACCAGGGAATGACTGCATGCAATTGTTCATTTGTTCACTCAACAACTTTTGCACCAGCTATATAGCAAGTATTGTGAAAGACACTAGCAACACAGTGGAAGCAAAACAGATGTAATCCTTGCTCTCATAGAGCCTACAGTCTAGAAATGGAAATAAATATTAAGTAATCACATAAAGAAACGTATATTTTCCGTAGTGATCATGTTGTAAAGGAAAACAAAAGGCTGCTACAATAAAATATAATTGGGGGGGCTGATTTAGGTTGGAGGAACCTGAAGGCCTTAATAAGGAAGTATTATTTAAGCTGATTCTTTAAAGATGAGTAGGTTTTAACCAGGATGTGGCAGGAACTGGTCTGCTGCTCACCAATCTCATTTCCTCTTCCTGGACACACAGGAAAACTACTTTTTTTCCCCCTTTGCAGTTAGGTGAGGGTCATGTGACTGTGATCTGGCCAATGGCGTGTGGGCAGACATGGTATGAGCCATTTCCAGGCCTGGCCAGAGAACCCCCTGCATAGTCACTTACCCTTTCTTCTCTTCCCACAGCGACTACAAAGGCCATGTTTTGAATATGGGGGTGCCACCGGAAGAAGAGCCACCCTGACCTACATCAGACTGTGATGTGAACAATAAATAAACCTCAGGTATAAGCTACCAAGATGTTGGGGTTGTTTGCTACCAAAGAAAAATCTAGCCTACCCTATTTCACAAGGGAATTATTGGAGGAGGAAGGGTGGGGGAGAAAATTTTAGGAAGATGCAGATGCCAAGTCCTGAGGCAGGCAAAGTGTCTATGTATGTTAGGGGTTGAGAGAAAGCCCATGGGGCCATAACACAGTGAGCAAGAGGTGAGGTCAGGGAGGGAGGCAGAGACACAATCATGAAGTGTATGGAAGGCCTTATTAATATTTTTGGAGTTTTTTCTGTGTGAAGTCTGAAGCAATGGAAGGAATATAAACAGGAGAATGATATAATGGAATATTATTTTCTTTTTTTTTTTAAAGATTTTATTTATTTATTCATGAGAGACAGAGAGAGAGAGAGGCAGAGGGAGAAGCAGGCTCCCAAGGAGCAGGGAGCCCGATGCGGGACTCGATCCCAGGACCCTGGGATCATGACCTGAGCCGAAGGCAGACGCTTAACCATCTGAGCCACCCAGGCGCCCCTGGAATATTATTTTCAAAAGGCCACTGCAGTTAGTGTTTGGAGCTTAGGCTAGAGGAAGCAAGAGAGGATACAGGGAGATCAGTTGGGAGGTTATCACTGTAGTATGGGCAAAAGATGGCAATGGCTGCAGTAGATATGGTAAGGAGTGGAATGTTTCTGGATATGTATTTTGGGCATCATAAAGGATTGGATTTGCTGGGTGAGGAAAAGGGGGCACCTGAAATGACACTGAAGTTTTTTAGCATGAGCAACTAGGTAGATGGAAGAGGATGGTGGTATCATTTAATGAGACGGGTAAGTCAAAGGAAGAGCACATTATCAGAGTGAAGATTTTGGGACATCCAAGCCAATATTAAGTAGCTATGTGGATATATGAGTCTGGAGCTCTGCAGAGAGGTCTAACATAGAGATATAAATTTAGGAATCGCTGGCAGATAGATGGTATTTGAGGCCAGAGATATGAATAAGATTGCCTGGGGCAAAAATGTATAGAAGGAAGAAAAGAAGACCCAAGGACTGAAGCTAAGGAATTTCAACATTGAGATGTTGTAATGAGAAGGTAAAGCTGCAGGTATAGGAAGAAAACCCACAGAGTTTTGTGTTTTGGAAGCTGAAGTGTTTCAAGAAGTAGGTAGTGGTCAGCTGAGTCACATGCCCTGCAAGGTCACATAAGATGAGGTCTGGAAAGATCCCATGAATTTGCCAACTTGGGTGCCATTGGTGACAGTGTCCAGAGTGGTTTTGGTAGAGCAAAGGGGAAGTGGAGGGGTAGAAATAGTGTGTGTGGACATATTTTTCAAGGAATTTTCCCCTGAAGGAAAATAGAGAAGGAAGGCCTTAGCTGGAGGGGCCCAGAGAGGTTTTTTGTTGTGGTTTTTTTTCCTTTTTATTTTCAAAAAATTTTTAAATTTCAGAAGAGTTGCAAAAACAATACAGAGTTTCCACATACCCTTCACTTAGCTTCCTCTAATGTTAATGTCACACACCACAGTTCAATCAATAATGCTGAGAAATTAATATTGGTACAACATTACTAAATCGTAGATTCTACTGATTTCACAACTTTTTCCATAAAAAATGATTTAATTTTTTTAATGGTTGGGAAAGAATTAAGAGAAGAATATTCCATGGCACATGAAAATTATGTGAAATTTAAATTTCAATGTCCATAAATAAAGTTTTATTGGAACACAACTATGTCCTTTCTCTGTGCCCGTATCCAATTCAGGATCCTCCATTACATGTAGTTGTCATGGCTCCTTAGTTTCCTCCAGTCCTTGGCAGTTCCTTGGTCTTTCCTTGTCTTTCATGACCTTAACTCTTTTGAAAAGCACTGGTCAAGTATTTTGAAGAATGCCCTTTGATTTGAGTTTGTCCGATGTTTTGTTATGATTAAATTTGAAGTAACACATTTTTGGCAAGAGTAACAGAGGTGATGTGCTCGTTGTCAATTCACCATATCAGGGGTACAAGAAGTTTATATTCTCATTACTTGTGATGTTATCCTTGAACATTTGGTT